GTCTGTAAATAATCGAGTCTGGACCAGACAATCCAATGATCAACAGCATGAGCATCGATCTACGCAAATGGGAACCGATGACATGTGTCCCGATCCCGTTAGTCGCCTCTTACGACAAGCATGGGTTACTGAAGATCAATCCTACCCCGGATCTTCAAGGGTCTCCAGGTGTCGAGAAAGACGTGTAATCATGCACATATTCTTGGTGGTGGGTAACTGAACTATAACTAACTACAGTAATTAAACCATGAAACTATTGTCATCCACACACTCTGAATATTTAAAACTTAATACGAACATGATGAGATGGCTTCCCTGGTTGCTTAATTTCTAGTTCACGTGGGTAAGTGACTGGAAAGTAATTGGCTAACTGACCGTCATTGAAGGCATATATTGCATGATTAACTCGTGTTTCAGGACAGCCGATGCAGACATGGAAGTATCCTATAAGTATCACATATCATATAAGCACGCCCCCCCCCCCCCACCCACCCAACTTCAACTGCCGTCTGTAGCTTCATTTATATCAGGGTTTCATCTTTCGTATGTTGCTTCATTTATATCAATGCTTCAACTGTCGTATGTAGCTTCATTTATACCAGTGTTTCAACTGCCATCTGTTCCTTCTTTTATATTAATGTTTCAACTTCCGTATGTTGCTTCATTTATACCAATGCTTCAACTTTCGTATGTTGCTTCATTTATACCAATGCTTCAACTGCCATCTGTTGCTTCATTTATACCAATGCTTCAACTGCCGTATGTTGCTTCATTTATACCAATGCTTCAACGTTCGTATTTTGCTTCATTTATACCAATGCTTCAACTGCCGTATGTTGCTTCATTTATATCAATGTTTCAACTTTCGTATGTTGCTTCATTTATATAAATGCTTCAACTTTCGTATGTAGCTTCATTTATATCGATGTTTCAACTGCTGTCGGTTGCTTCGTGATTTATATCAATGTTTTGACTGTTGCCTCCCCTATATATACCAATGGTTTAAGTTTCTTGTTCTGCATTCTTTCAGTTAAGATCCTTACTTTGCATCCTTGATATCAATGTTTCTAGTTCCTTGTGTCGCTTCGTTCATATCAGTGTTTCAAGATCATACCTTTATATTTCCCCCTTTATATCAGTGTTTCAAGATCATACCTTTATATTTCTCCCTTTATATCAGTGTTTCAAGATCATACCTTTATATTTCTCCCTTTATATCAGTGTTTCAAGATCATACCTTTATATTTCCCCTTTATATCAGTGTTTCAAGATCATACCTTTATATTTCCCCTTTATATCAGTGTTTCAAGATCATACCTTTATATTTCTCCCTTTATATCAGTGTTTCAAGATCATACCTTTATATTTCCCCTTTATATCAGTGTTTCAAGATCATACCTTTATATTTTCCACTTTATATCAGTGTTTCAAGATCATACCTTTATATTTCTCCCCTTTATATCAGTGTTTCAAGATCATACCTTTATATTTTCCCCTTTATATCAGTGTTTCAAGATCATACCTTTATATTTTCCCCATTTATATCAGTGTTTCAAGATCATACCTTTATATTTCTCCCTTTATATCAGTGTTTCAAGATCATACCTTTATATTTTCCCCATTTATATCAGTGTTTCAAGATCATACCTTTATATTTTCCCCATTTATATCAGTGTTTCAAGATCATAACTTTATATTTTCCCCTTTATATCAGTTTCAAGATCATAACTTTATATTTTCCCCATTTATATCAGTGTTTCAAGATCATACCTTTATATTCCCCCTTTATATCAGTGTTTCAAGATCATAACTTTATATTTTCCCTTTATATCAGTGTTTCAAGATCATAACTTTATATTTTCCCCATTTATATCAGTGTTTCATGATTATTCCTTTATATTTCCCCTTTATATCTGTTTCAAGATTATAACTTTATATTTCCCTTTTTGTATAAGTGTTTCAAGCTTTTTTGCTTCCTTTTTATCAGTATTTCACAAATGTTTTTATGTTGCTACCTTTTTATCAATGTTTCAAGATCCTTGTGCTGCTGTCCTTATATCATTGCCTTTTGGTTTGCAAAATGTTGTTGCTGATAATAATGATATCGGTGTCATGAAAAAATAGTATGATAGTTCCTGTAAATGTTTCAGGGGCATCCCAACTTCTGTTAAGGATATCAGGACAGAAATGGGGATTCTATGGTCACAATGGTGTCCTCCTTGATGCATTGTTCATCTCATTTACTAAATGTGTACCTTGCCCAGACTCGTTTATTGATTGGCCTCGGAGATATTTTCAACTGGAACATTACAGCTGTGTCATAAAACAGCATTCACTCACCCAACTCTTTCATTTCTAAGACAAGATGAAGTCACGAGTGAACAGACCGAAGAACAACTGAACTCGGTAAATGCACAGGGTCTCTTAAACCTTCTCTGTGAACAGGCAACAATGATCACAAATAACCTTATGTGCGTTTGTTTGTTGGTTGGTTGGTTAATGCCACACTCAGCTATATGGCGGGAATCGAGTCTGGACCAGACAATCTAGTGATCAATAGCATGAGCATCAATCTACACAAATGGGATACGATGACATGTGTCAACCAAGTCAGCGAGCCTGGCCACCTGATCCCATTATTCGCCTCTTACGACAAGCATGGGTTACTGAAGATCAATTGTAACCCTGATCTTAATGGGTTTACAACAAATGGAATCATTACCTCAAACAGTCAAACAAAATGAGTTCGCGAGTCCAAGTTTGTGTGATTACAAATTGACAATGTTAAATATTCTACAGCAATCACCATTTCCTCCAACAATAAACTCACATGTCCTAATAGAAGTTACATATTGCTCATATTAAATGAAGATTACCTGTGATATATCACCAAGCTCATTCTAGCTCTGCCATGTTGCTTTTCCCACCATGTCCACCATCCCAGGTTTTGGTGACATGTGTCAACCAACTCAGCAAGCCTGACCACCTGATCCCATGGTGCATCTCAGGACACCGACCTTTCGATTTTCCACTAGTCTCAGGATGCTGAGCTGCGGTTTCCTTTGAAGGTTAGGTTCTGATTAGGTTTGCAGATAATCCACTCTAGATGTTTTCATAAGGTGAATTCGTCACACAAGGAGAACATATAACCTACAATTGATTGAAAAGTTTACAATAACAATTAGCAGGGTGCTAATATTGAACACTTTCCAGGGGTAGAAATACTTTTTGTTCTAAATGTGCCTTAGGGCACCAGACAAATATTTCAGGTGTGCCTTTCAGAAATCGAGTATGCCCACATGTTTTTAGAATAAATGACAATGATGATCATCATTTGAAATTTATTGTTAAATAAAGAAATGGGTTTATGAGCATTCAAATATGTATGGTATTATTCAATTTAAAAAAAAAATTGTTTTGGGGATTAAATGACTAAATGTGAGTTATGTCTCTAAAACATTAGGCGTGTCAAAAGGGCACCGAGAACATTTTTTATCTGTGCCATTTCAGTATTTACCGTGCCATGGCACACTAATATATTTCGAACCATGCTGTCTCAGGACACCAATATTATTTTTTCACTCAACCGTGAAGTTTGGTCAAAAGGTCGACGTTATGAGCTTGAACCTGCACACCGATCCCATCATTTGCCTCTAACAGGTTGCTAAAGACCAATTCCAACCTGGATCTTTATATACAACTAATTCAACACTAAAAAGAAAGAAAAAAAGAAGACAATCTGTCATATCAGCTTTATTGATTAAACACCTCCATAAATATTATAATGATATATGATAAAATAGACTGACTCAAGTTTTGATATATATGACCATATACACCCACGATAACAGGCATCATAGAAGATATGCGCAGTTCAATCACAATCAATATTTGACCACACAACATTTTGGCCCCAAATACTATTGCTTGATTCTGACAAAAAACATTCATGATATTGTGTCCATAAATCCGGGCAATATTATGTGCAATCACTATTTGACCACAACTGTGGCCACAATGGCACTGGGATAATCTAAATTAACATTAATACTGAGCGAAACCTAAAAGTTTACCTGAATATTCCGAACAACTGAGTATCGGCGACCTTATTGGAAAAGAACGACCTGTAGGTTATTATTTACTCTTTAGGAGAGTTCCTCACCTTTTATTGAAAACAGCTCAGTGTTTAACTTGTAAGTTAAGATTGGCCAGGGTACTCATTTAAAAAATACACAAACCCCTTCTGAATGTTAAGCCAGTGATTAAGCCCTCTCAATAAATTGAAAACAGCAAATTACAGTGTGTAAAGAGAGAAAAAATATGCAAGGAGGATCATTCAAAATCAGTGGGGACACCAGGGTGCCGTTGTACAAAGCGATTTTAGCGCTAAGGTGACCATAACTCCCATACCTTAACACAGGCAAAAGGTAGCCTTAGCTAAAGGTTGTTTTGTACAACGGCACCCAGGTGTTCACTGAAAGGGTAAGCATTTCCTGCCCTACTACAATAGACATACGCTGATGGGGACTGGTCATTTATTACAGTGTGTGTGAAATGTCCCGTAAATACAAAATGCAAAAAAGCTTCATATTATATTTTCAAAAGTCTACATTTTCACACTTCCCAACTATGAGTATTATGTTTTATTACCCTCTCCTTGACATTTTAGATTTTTCCATTACTCTTATTCCCTCACACCTACCCATATATATAAATAATGACTGGTCCCCAATTAAAGGTAATTGCTTTTTCTGAAAGAACTAATCCTCTGTGATCTGTGAAAATGAATGAAACAACAACAAATATCTTGTGTGGCCCAATACATGAACTGTACATAATGCTGTAATTCCATTATATTCACATGGAACATCTGGCTATGTGTTATGTGCTTGGAACAGGTTGACTGTAGATTAATCATAAAGCTATTATGCATTTTAGTACAATTCTGAATATATAATGAAACATTCACATATTGTCATGCCAGTATTAAACATGGCAGTATAGTATATAGGGGCATAATTGTGTAAATGTTCTGAACCTCCATCCATCACTTTCCTCCATCAACTTGAATACAAAAGGTGGCTATAAGTTACACGCAATTTTCTATATTTACCCTGAAGATGTTGAACACGAATGTCGAAATGAATGCTTATAGTCTGAAAAATAGAACTGGAATTAAGTTTGTGGGCATTGCTGAATTTGGCTCTGGTTCCTAGAAACTAACCTCAAGGTATTCACAGATGTACAACAGTTGACACAGGTGATGTGTGACATCATACAGTTGCCTAGGTTCTAAAGGATAAGTAATTACTCAGATTGTGAAATGATACTTTGGCAATAATCAAAACAGAATATTTCCCCCTACCTACAATAGTATCTGACTGACTGGAAGGTATTCAATAGGTAAATGCAAGTGAGTGTGTTTAACATACTGTTTCATTCTTTCAGTGATATCATGGCTTAAACTGTCAGATTAAAGCATGAGGAAAGCCCAAATGATACAGGTCTCAGAGATTTATGGGAGCTCTGAGCTGTTAGAGTGAGTGAGTGAATGAGTTTGGTTTTATGCCGCTTTTAGCAATATTCCAGCAATATCACGGCAGGGGACGCCAGAAATAGGCTTCACACATTGTACCCATGTGGGGAATCGAACCCAGGTCTTTGGCATGACGAGCGAATGCTTTAACCGATGGGCTACCCCACCGCCCCAGAGCTATTAGAACCAGAGACTATATAATATATGGTCTCTGTTAGAACCAACAAACAATTGTTCAGTCTGTCAGCAGAACATGGAGGTGCGTTGTTTATCGCCTAGCTCAGCAATTTCCCAGCTACATGAGGGTGTTAAGTGGGGTTTTCAAATAGTTGAGTCTGGATTAGACAATCCAGTGATTGACATCATGAGCATCAATCTACACCACTGGGATACAATGACATGCAACCAAGTCAGCGATCCTGACAACCCTATCGCCTCATACGAGAAGCATGGATTGGTGAAAACCAATTCAAACCTGGATATTCATGGGTAGAACATGGAAACCCAAACTGACACGGGTCACTTGTGGTACAAAGTTGATACACTGTCAAGACTCTGCGTGAATGGGGGGCATGAACCCACGATCAAAAGATCCTGATGCCTAAGGGACACAACTCTGCACAGCTATTTGCGGTTTCTTAAAAAAAACGTTATTTGAAATGCAACATTCAATGTTTGATGCTGACATGTCACAGTTATATTGATAGGACATGATTCAGAACTAAATATAGAGGATGGTGTCATAAAGTGTTATCAAAGCTGGTGATATCCTACTGATTACCCTCTGATTAAGCAACATTTATTTGTCCCTGAAACTGTTGATGGTGTCATCAAACATAAAGGGATATTAGTCAGTACAGACTTTGACTAACCACAACACTGTAGGGCCATAATAACAGGATTATATTTATCACCACAGCGACGAGAGTTACTCTGTTGTAACATAGATGCCAGAGTACATGTTGTGCCTGAGTTACTGCATTGAGTACCAGAAAACATTGTAGTGAGTGAGTGAGTGAGTGGGTATGACTTCTTTGAGTGGCATTTTAGAAGTTGGGAAGTACAATATAGAACAAACTATATGGATAACAACGGTACAAGAATCTGTATCGAAACGTCGCACTCACGAATAAAAAGAAGTTGTTATCCATAAAGTTTGTTCTATATTGAGTGAGTATGGTTTTACGCCGCTTTTTAGCAATATTCCAGCAATATCAAGGCGGGGGACACCAGAAATGGGCTTCACACATTGTACCCATGTGGGGAATCAAACCCGGGGGCTTCGGCATGACAGAAAACATTGTAGTACCTCAGTACCATAGAAAATATATTTTCTTCATAACAATTTGAAAATAACATGCTTATTAAGCCAGGTTTTTCTGTTACAAGTCAAGCCTAATATGAAATAAATACATATATCTGTACAGATGCTTACCATAAATGTTACAATAAAAATGAGAAAAGTGAAAATTTATCCTGTCTTATGGACACAACAAGGAGTAAGTCAAATATAACTTATAATATACTATATGGTATGTACTCTGTAAGTGAGAAAAGTGAAAAAGCATAATAACTTGTGAACTCACTTAGGAGTAAGTAAATATAACTTATAATATACTATATGGTATGCACTCTGTAAGTGAGAAAAGTGAAAAAGTATAATAACTTGTGAACTCAATTAGGAGTAAGTAAATATAACTTATAATTTACTATGTGGTATGCACTCTGTAAGTGAGAAAAGTGAAAATGTATCCTGTCTTGTGGACTCAACTAGAAGGAAGTCAAATATATCTTATATATATATCATCATCCAAAACTGGCTCGACACAGTAGATATTGCTTGTGTGAGATCAAGCAATATCTACATTGTCGATATCACAACAACTGAACTGTCATAATGCTACTACATCATCAGTTAATGACCTCATAATGTTTTGACATCACTAAGAACACAGCTGACAATGCTATGACATCACAAAGTTGATGACATCAGAATGTTATGATGTCAAGCTGATGACATCACAATGCTATGACCTCACTGAGATCACTGCTCAAGAAGCCTAATGGCAGTTTTGCATTCAGATAAATTCATTTTTTTACTGATAACTGATGAAGAATGATTTTGGATAATAAATAACATCTCATCCTTGTCTCTTCTGAGTGAGTGATTGAGTTGAGTTATACGTCGCTTTTAACAATATTACAGCTATATCACGGCAGGAGACACCAGAAATTGGCTTCACACATTGTACCCATGTGGGGAATCGAACCCGGGTCTTCGGCGTGACGAGCGAACGCTTTAACCACTAGGCTGCCCCACCGCCCGTCTCTTCTGATATCCAATATATCAACACTCTTGGCAAGCCTCAGATATTTGTAACTGTAATCAACTTATGTTGATATATTTGATATCAGAAGACACTTGGGTGAAATTCTATATATACTATATGGTATGCTCTCTGTAAGTGAGTCGGGTTTAACACTGCTTTGAGAATTATAACCATTCTACGGCAGTGTGCCAGCTGTACCGGTATGTGGGAGGAAAGATTGAAGCTATGCTAGTCTTAGAAATTTTACCACTTTGGTGAAACTCTTGACATTGAGTATGATACTGAAAAATTTAGACACATCATAGGAGTGTATCCTGATCATTGGTTCCTGGTGTCTCCAGGGGATGTAACTCTGCATAGCACACTTAACATAGGCCTACTCCAAAGCACGCTGTGAACTGGTTACCTCCCTTCCCAGTTACTCTTCATCATGTGATTATACTGCAGATATAAGAGTGAGTGAGTTGGGTTCTACCAGCAATATCACGGCAGGGGACACCAGAAATGGGCTTCACACTAGAGATATAAGAAAGTCTTTGGTCACTCATCAACTAATGACATGCACCAACATTGTAAATAACATTTCAGTAAAGTCAGTGAGTGAAAATACAAATTAATTTCGAAACAAAAAAAATTGATTTCCTATTAGCTTACAGATGGTCATAACGGACATCAGGGTTTACTAATACATAAATCAACTTTATTATTTTACAATTTCTTTAGATAATTTCCTGCACAAAATAATTATTAAACCAGTTTAATGATATACAACATTAATCAACATTTTTCTAGATTATTACTCATACATACTGATAAATATGCGATAACTACATACAGGATAAACAAAACTATACTATTTCCCTTACAACAAGTATTATGACACTATAAGTGTAATATTTCACTAAATATATATAAGTACATTAAAACAATGTATAAAATTTGACACATGCTCAGTAATAATAGATATTGAACACAAAGTAAAATAAAAACAGAACAATCACTCAGGTATATAATTACAACACCTAAGACAAACACTTTGATCATGATGATCACAGTCAATATTATGTTCATAAAATCAAGGAAGCAGATTAGGCAAAAATGTTTTAAAGTGGTATACAGATGCAGCCAAACTCAGAATAATTAAGAATGGAAAAACATATCTGAAAGCAAGTTTCTTGGTGAAGAAATAAGTATACGTATCACATAATATGTTAATCAACTACATGTATTGATAGGGATATTCTCATCTTTCCATGGTACACAAAGCTGATTCTCATAATATACTGAGACAAACAAATAAGGGAACACGGGAAAATTCAAGCATTCCTTTAATATTTTCCAGTTTTCATCACCAGCTTTGAATAGTGCTGTGGGAGGAAATCTGAGAATAAATAGAGGAACACTGCCATGAAGTGGTGTTCCCTTATTTGTTTCCCTCAGTATATGTCCAGTGTCTTGTGGTAAAGAATGGCATGTGTGATTATCCCTGTCCAAAGTTGAGCAGTATATGTTAAAATTTCAAGGTGTTCATATGAACCAACCACAATTAAATAAATGAAAACTACAAAGAAAACGCAAACATCTGTAAAACACAATTTACAATCTCGCCTAAACCGCTTCTATTATAAGGCACACTGGGGTTGATAAACAAAACATCACTGTCACAATGCATGATTCACTGCATGCATCAATTCACGTCAAGAGCAATACATAACATATCCCAGCTATCATTGTAATCTTTCACTGAACACAGTCAAAGCCTTCATTGTTCATTGTAGTTTAGGTAAGCAGTTAAAATATCCAAAACACTCAAATACTCAACTGTTCCATGAACCGTATTCACTGTATTAAATGCCCTGTTCCAACACACATCCCAAATCTACTTCGAGACCAATCTGTAATTTTCATAAGAAAAAACATACTAAGCCCTTTTTTATGCCCAAGTTTCTGATGTATATTGAAGATTTGTAGGATGTGTTAAATGATTATCGAGTAAATATTATCAAAAATGTTCAGTTTCTTTCACATTTGGATTATGTTTCTTTACTACTACTTCACTTCTAGCAACAAATTTAATGTCTTGTGCATGGTTGAAATAAAGAGATCTCCAATAACCAAGAAAAAAAAGAAAAGAAAAAGAGCTCTCCATCTCTTTTTCAAGATGTTAACTGTGATGCTCGTAACAATGAACAGGGTTTCCTGAATATTCCGTACAATTTGCTGTATGAACACAGGGTATGCAGTCAACAATATATGTCAACTTACATCATGTGTTTATTCACAAACAGCCTCAGCATGAACATGATACTGTTTAAACATGGATCCACTTCAGCCTGATTAGTTTTGACGAATACTGATAAATATATGCATAGTGTTTAACATGAAGCAATTAAA